GGCGGCAGCAGGGGAGCCCCAGGGGGCGCCGGGGGTCCGAAGGGGGTGCTTGGAGGGCCGGTCGCCTGGTCTGCCAGAGCCAAGTCCCACCAGCTCGTGGAGCGTTTCTTTGACGCGGTCGCCTGGTGCTGGTTTTGTGTCCCAGCCGATTGTGTGTGTCCCAGTGTTATGTGCGCTCCTGTGGCGACTTTTTACCCCCTTTCCGAACGCTCTTCGTACTATGGTTCTAAGTTACTTGGAAAGGATTCTTCCTATTTGGGGATCAGAGAGAGACTCTACTACCATTGTTTTGATGTCGCCTTTGCTCCACGGGCAGCCGTGTACCTTGGCCGGGAAGGCAGGTAATTGTGATCTTTCCGATGTGTGCCCCCATCAAACCTGTAAATGGTGAGGCCCCTTCCCACGAGCCCCGAAGTAGCAATCCTGGGGAGCAGCTCAGGTGTCATGATTGCTTAGCTCTTAAGATTTAGCAACTTATGCTGATACATCTTGGTTTTTGTTTGTGGGGAAGAGGCCTGGATTTGGAGTCACAGGACACCTGGATCTGAAAGCGTTCACTTGATAGTCTTGTCAGGTTGTGCGCTTGCCCTTCTCTGGTGGCGCAGTGTCTAAAGCACTCCACTGCTAACCTCATTGGAACTTGGGGTGAGAAAGTTGTGGGACTGATTCCTTAAAGATTCCAACCTTGGAAACCCAATGCCTCAATTACTATGCTCTATAGGCCCTGTGGGACCCCTGGTGGCCGAGTGGTTGGCAGTTCGAAACTACCATCTGCTCTGCAGGAGAAAGACGAGGCTTTCTGCTCCTGTAAACAGTTACAGTCTCGGAAACTCAAAGGGGGCAGTTCTACCCTGTCCTATAGGGTCTCTATGAGTCCACACCGACTCTGACTCTGGCACTTGAGTTGAGTTGTTGAGTTGATAGAGCCTGAATGAGTTCGGTCAGAATGACCTCATGGCAGTGTATTTATTTTCTTCTGGTGTGATATAACCTGTATCAAGGATCTGGTGGCGCACTGTTTAAGCGCTCAGCTCACCAGTGGGTGGGCAGCACAAATCATCCAGCTGCTCTGTGGGAGGAACTGGAGACAGTGTGCTTGAGTCAAGATGGCAGTCCTGGGGACCCTTCAGGACAGTTCTGCCGTGTCCCATGGGGCCTCCATGAGTTGGAATATGCTCAACAACATTTTTTTTTTTAAAGCTGCCTCATAGGGCTGAAAAGACTTTGTGTAGGGGAACTGTACGGTGCAATTACAGACTGCCAGGCTGTCTTCTGGGCCCGAGTTTTTATCTCCCAGAATGAGAGGCTGGGAGTTCACCTAAAGACATGTGAAATAAACAGTCTGTTTTGCTCAAGCTGGACTGGCAATCATTCAGAAATTCTTACCCACCAGGAAGTCTTCCGGTGGACCATGGTAGTGGGTGTGCCTTCCTAGATACTGACCACACCTTCTTATTTGCCAGTGTCTTAACTTTGTGGGAAAAGATAAAGGCTCAGGAGAAATTGCTGGTGAAACGGAAGCATCTCGTTGAGTGTGAAGTACACTGTACCCTCCATAGCTCCTTGTCACCTGTGCCTTTAACCACGTTACAGACAGAAAACAGTGGTGGTGGCCCTAATGCTTTCCTGTTCTTCTTCCTTCCTCTCCTTGGTGTGTTTTACATTCAGAAAGTGTGGTACAGGCATACTGCCCTTATTGCATGTTCATTCATTGGCCTGCTTTTTGCTTGGGGCTGTTTTTACACATCGAAGGGTTGTGGCAAGTCTTTGGGCATATGCCCACTTCGTGTCTCTGTGCCACCTTTTGGTCATCCTGATAGTATTCAGACATTTACACAACGCTGCTGCGGAATAAACAGAGTCCAAGACCCCAAATCCAGCCCACCGCCACTGAATTGATTTCCAGCACAAACCTGTACAGGGTTTCCGAGACTGTCTTTCAGGGAGCAGACACCCTCACCTTCCTCCCAGAGTTCCACTGGCAATTTTGAACTGTTAGCCTGTGGTTAGCAGCCCAACGCCAAGCCTACAAACTGCCAGGGCTTTTAAACAGACAACAGTACTGTAAATATAACTTTGATATGCACTGTTTTAGGGTGAAAAGGGACCCTAAGTATAATTTAGGGTGAAGGTTCATCAAGTCTTAAATAGGAAAAGCCAAGACAAAGACACATCATCAGGATAAGGGCCATCATTAGTACAAGGTCTTCATGGCATCCAAGGGTTGGTAGCAGCAGTTCTCAACCTGTGGGTCGAGACCCCCAACCCTTTCACAGGGTTTGCCTGATTCATAACAGTAGCAAAATCAGAGTTATAAAGTAGCAACGAAAATAATCGTATGGTTTTGGGGTCACCACAACATGAGGAACTGTATTAAAGGGCCGCGGCATTAGGAAGGTTGAGAACCACTGGTTTATAGAGACGTGTAGGCTTAACAAGGACATGGGAAGACAAAGACGCATGATTGGTGGTGGATCAATAAATACAGGCATCAGTAAGTGACAGGCAGCATGACAGCAGTGGGATGGGACCATGATTGCAACGTGGACATGTGCTAGATGGAGTGGCTTACAAGATTGGTTTAGGGCCTTTCAACCGAGGCAGCCACAGCGTGACTCCTGATTATGGGAACTCAATGTGGCAATCTCCTTCGGGAACACACCCAGGCTTCCCCTAGGGAAGACTGTCCCTCTCTGGGTTGGTTAGGAGGTGATGTTAATCTAATTTCTAATGTCCTCTGCAGGATTGTGTTCATACTCCTGATTAAGGGCCAAAACGGATGAAATGGAGTCTTAAACTTCTTGGGGAGTATGAAAATGGATTTTGGGCTTAACTGTTAACCTTAGCCTTCTTCAAACCGACTGCTCAGAGTTTAAACTTTTTTTTTTTTTTTTAGTTTAAGCTCTTATATTGCACCAAGAAACCAAACATTTGTATAATTTGCTCTAGTGCAAGATTTGTCTTAATGCAGTGGTTTGGAATGGAACCCTCCATATCTCTGACGTATGCCTGTATTAGGAAATGGAAAGATAGGTTCAGATCTTGACCTCCTTGCCTTAGGACTGGAAGCCCTGGTAGCATAGTAGGTTACAAGTTGGACTGCTGATCACAAAGTCAGTAGTTTGAAATCCCCAGTTCTCCCCTAAGGGAGAAAGATGAGGCTTTCTGTTCTCTTAAAGAGTCACAGTCTCAAATCCACCGGGGCAGTTCTGCCCTGTCTTAGAGGGTCGCTATGAGGCAGGGTTTACAGAGACTTGGAAGCTTAACAAGGACATGATTGGTGGTGGATCAATAAATCACAGCAACAGGCAGGACGACAGCAGTGGGATGGGATTGCAACATGTACATTATGCTAGATGGCATGTACATTAACTTGATAGCAGTCAGTTTTTTCGGTTGTTTATTTTATTTTTGTTTCATTTTGATAGCCCAGTGGTTAAGTGCTTGACTGCTAAGTGAAAAGACCAGCGGTGGTTCAAACCCACCACCTTCTTGGGAGAAAGACCTGTGACCTGCACCTATGAAGATGGCACCCTTGGAAATCCTTTGGGGCAGCTTTGCTCTGGCCGAGAGGGCCACTGAGTTGGAATCCACTCAGCTATGGGTGCTTACAGACAGTGGACACATGGATTGTGTTTTTGTTGATTTTTTCTTCTTAAGACCTGGAGTGATTCAGAATAATTCATATAACCTTAGAGGTATCTTTAAACAGTGGGTTCCATGGAGGTGTGTTGGCATTAATTAGAGCCTCATTTATTGGCAATTAGAATGGAGTGCCTGCGTCCAGTAACCACTGTAACCTCCTAGTTCTGTCACCCTTAAACTGGAGTCATCCTTTGCTGCTAAACAGTGACAATGGCAGCTGCTACTGCTCAGGACATTCAGGTGAAAGCCGCGCCTTCACCACGTGCTGTCACAGAGTGGAGGTACAGCCACAGCGCCCTCACCCCGACGGCTGGGCATGCTTGGCTGAAGCACCTTTGTTGAGAAATTCAGAGACTCCTCTTCTCCTTGTAGAGTAACTACTGATCTGCCCTGGTGCTTTAAATAGCTGAAGCTGATTCATGAACTGCTCATCAACATATCCAAAAACTCACTGCCATCAGGTCAGTTCCAACCCATAGTGGCCCCAGAGGACAGAGTAGAACTGCCCCCTAGCGTTTCCAAGGCCACCCGTCATCTCACAGGAGCACACTGCCGCATCTTCCCCGGACTGGTTGGAACCCTTGGCGAGCTAGTGCTTTCACTGCTGGGCCACTAAGACCCTTTCTCAACTTCGCACTGAAGCTACCTGCTGCCTTAAAGATGTACAATGTGGAAACCCTGAGGAACAGGGTTTGAATCCACGCGTTGGCAGTGATGGATTTGGCCTTTAAAATCGACAAATATACTTACTGTGTTAAGGGAAGCGGTGAGAACTTGGTAATTTAAATCTATAAAGAGCCCTCTGGTTTCTCATTGCTCAGATTTCTCTCTGTTGAACTTGATTTCTTAGCTATGAGATTTCGAAATGTTACTCACACTAAGAAGAGTGACAGGTGTGAAAAGAGTGACAGACACAGAGGGACTCCGTGTCAGTATTGATGGCATCAAGTACTTTGTCAGTAGGTGACACGAATTGATACAGTGTGTCGTGTAGGGAAAGGGCCCTCGTGGTGTAGTGGTTACAAGTTGGGCTGTGATCCGGATGGTCGGCAGTTTGAAGCCACCAGCATCCCCTTGAGAGAAAGACTAGGCTTTCTACTCCCCAGAGTCACAGTCTCGGGACCCCTGCTGGTCGCTATAAGTCAGCATGGACTTGA